ATGTGAATTAATTGAGAAGAGAGTGGAAGATGGTGATATATATATATATCTTAGAAGACTTCTCCTAATTCTTGCAGGACAAGTAATATTGTATTTCCAACTATAACAAGAATTTCCACTTTTGTTCTCCTCCTCAGATAAGGAAGTCTTTTTTTTTTTTTTTGGTATGAATTAAAAGTGCAAATTCTCTGGGGATAATTTGTAGAAAGAAGGTGGTACTGGGATATCAAGAGCGTATCCTTTCTTTTTCAATACAGAGATTCACTTTTCAAAGAGCTTATCCCTTTCCTTCTCTCTATCTGTGAATTTACAAGACAAAATTCTCATGGTTTCAACTTACAATACAGAGCCTGGTTAGCAATTTTGCGTAATACTTGTATTGTACATGTACATACATATTTTTGAAAAATACTTTCGTTTTCCATACACGTCTCGAAAACTTTATAAAATACATGTTTTTTTAAAATCAAGCATACAATACACGTATGTCCATATTCTTCATGTTTAATACACGTACCTTTTACAAAATTTTAAATAATATGGACAAAAATAATTTTTTTTTATTAAAACATTATCTAATTTCATTGTGTTTTAAAAAAAAATTTGCCGAATAATACACGTAAGTATTTTACTAATTATGATATAGACAAATTAAATCCTGCATCTCTACTGCAATTAACGGCTGTAAAATAGGAGGCCTCTTCAAGGAAACACCACAGCATAGACAAACTGAAATCGACGCTTAGTTAGCCCCTTGTAAATGAGACTGATCATAGCCTTTCAATTTGAGTCACAAAAAAACTGCGAAGCAAGCATCTCTTCAAATTGGCCCATATTAAGATACTAATTCAAATGCCTATCTAGAGTGTTCTATGTTGGTCGATCGATAAACAATTATATACAACAATAGCTTGATCATGTGCGTGACAATCAACCAAGTTTGGAGAAGGTACTTTGCAAGTGTATCGAAATTGATGAGCCTACTTGCACTTCAAAGTCCAACTTCAGTTTACCAGAAACCCCTGCAAGAACAACTCCCATCTTTCATATGGTGAAAGCGGTTAGAATCTCTTAGAACAATCTCCCTCCTAGATGTCTTAGAGATGAACTTGGCCATCTCATGACAGTCACTGCATACTCGTAGATTCTTGGTCACCCGTATGGTTTTCCCAGGTGGCAAGTTCAGTATCCCAAATGCTATGGCTAACTTCTCACTATGCCCACAGAGAGCCACTTCTTTCTCCATCTCATCTGCATTTATCAAAGCATACTGCATTTTAGGAGAATAGCCTTCTTCCTTCATCTTCAATCTTAAACGCTTCAATAGAGACTCTATCTTTGTGGCTTGTGGGTGTGAACTATTTCCAGCGACAAAGATTTGAACTTTCCCCTTGATCTCTATCCAACTACAGCCTGGATTCTTTTTTAAGCCTTGCCGACCAATCCTCTCCCTCAACTTTTTCACTTCTTCCCACTTTTCTGCCTCTGCATAAATATTTGCTAGAAGTACATAGTAACCTGTGTTTTCTGGCTCTAGTTCAAAAACACGTTCTGCGACTTTCTCCGCTAGTTTTACATCGTGGTGGATCCTACAACCGCAGAGCAAGGAACCCCAGATAGTTGCGTCTGGCTCAATGGGCATCTTGTTAATAAACTTATATGCCTTGGTTAGATTCCCAGTGCGGGCAAGAAGATCCACCATACAAGCATAGTGCTCTAACTTTGGAACAATGCTGTAATCATTTCTCATACTATCAAAGAATCTCCATGCTTCATCAAGTAACCCAGAATGACTGCAAGCATAAAGTATAGAAATGAAGGAAATACTGTCAGGTTTTATTCCTGATTTTCTCATCTCGTTAAAGGCAGTAATAGCTTCCCTTCCTAATCCATGCATGCCATATCCAGCAACTATCACAGTCCAAGAAATCAGATCCTTCATGGGAATAATGTCAAAAAGTAATCGTGCAAGAACTAGTACCCCGCACTTGACATACATGTCAACAAGTGCATTGGCAACATACCGATCCGAAAAGTATCCATTTCTCAATATATGGCCATGGATCTCTTGACCTCTGTTTAGAGCTGCTAGGCTGGCACAAGCCGGAAGGACACTCGCAATTGTCATGCCGTCAGGTTTTGATTTCTGTTGCATCTCAGAAAAGAGTTTAAGAGCTTCATTGGGAAGACAGTTTTTCGAGTAACCTCCTATCATGGTATTCCACGAGACAATGTCCTTCACAGGCATATTAGAAAAAACTGAGTGAGCATCTTCCATGCTTCCACATTTCGCATACATATCCATGAGAGTATTGCAGACAAATAAACCGGAGTCCATGCCATGTTCCCTAATGTACTTATGTATATCCCTGCCTTTTTTCAATGAGCCATTACAAGCACATGCATGAAGTATGCTTGTGATTGTATAAACATCTGGGCTAACACCATTCCTTTCCATTTCTGAGAATAATTCGATCGCCTCATCTGAAAGCCCTTCTCGGACATACCCTGCTATCATTGAAGTCCATGACACAACACTTCTTTGACCCATCTTCCCAAAGACTTGAGTTGCACTACTCAGATCGCCACATTTTGAATACATGTCTAGAACATTATTGTAGAAAATGATATCCATGTCCAAACAAGTTTTTATTGCATAAGAATGAAGCGCCCTACCCAATGAAAGATTTCCACCATCTGAACAAGCCATTAGAACATTGATAATAGTAGCCAAATCCACATCTATCCCCAAAGAAAGCATCTGTCTGAAAATATCAACCCCCTTATCCGCAAGACCATTGGACACATATGCACTTATCATTGAATTCCACGATATAACATCTCGATCACTCAATTCATCAAACACCTTACGTGCACTTTCAATTCTTCTATTCTTAAAATAGAAGGCCATTAGCGAATTACCAACTGTGTTATCAGAACCAAATCCCAATTTGTACAGATACCCATGAACCCATTCACCTTCTCGTACATATCCTAGGGAAGAAAAACACTTTAAAATACAAGAAAATGTATAAGAATTAGCTTGGATATCCAGCTCTTGCATCTTCCTAAATAAATGTATACCTTCCCTGAAATTACGAACCTTTGCATACTCATTGATCATAAGGTTCCAAAGAAAAATCTTTCCATTTGATAATTTATCAAAAATTAGCCTAGCTTCTCTTAAATCCCCACACTTTACAAACATAAAAACAAGTTTTGCACCCAAAGGTCCATCAACTTCTGCGCCATTGCTACAAATAACTGAATGAACCCTTTTACCATCTTGCAGCGACTTAAGTCCAGCACAGAGCTCCAAGACGGAGCAGTAACCCTCCAAATCAAGCTCAGATTTTTTAGACCCGCATACCAATTCCACGGCGTTTTTTAGATTACCCATTTCACAGTATTTGCTAATCTTGGCATTCTTGTCTATAACTTCACTGTTAGTGGATATGGCGACCGAGGCTGAAACACTAAATTTGGCACAAGAATGATCCAAATTCGAAGAGAACAGAGAGGTTCTTGAAGAGGGTTTGGAGAAGAAGCAGCCATTTGAGGGTCTAGAAAACTTTGTTTCATTGTCATTGTGCGGCAGAGGAGAGACCGACAACAAGTTCGGTGAGGTTGTGGCTAGCATCAACATAGTCCCTGTAAACCAAAACAAAGCCGCGCGAAAATTCAATTAGCCTGAACCTAGAAGATAACTAACTCGAGTCTTTATTTATACATATAAATTTTATTTTCAAATACCAAAAAGAAAAAATGGCGCGCGTGATTTACACACAGCACCAGAAGTTGTGGACCAGAAAATTTTGTAATAAAATAAGAGTTACTGAAGGTAAGGAACTGTCAGAATCTAATCCATTTGTATACTCAGAATCTTGGTTTCTCATTTTCCACTTTCAACTTCAAGAACCCAAATTGGCCTTGAATTTAACATATGGGTGCAGTTGTTCATGAATATCATTCTGTGCTTCGGTTTCCCACTTTCTTCTCTTTCAGCAAGCAGCCCAAGCTGGGAAAATCCATTTTCTCTCTGAAAGGTATTTAAAGTTTTCACTTTTTAGGAATTCCACTTTGAATTCTGCAATGGGTTCTTCTTGGAATTGTGTTTGGTATCTGTTAAAATGAAAGATCTCAGCTTGGTTTAAGTATTTTTCTTGTCTGGGATTGTTTGACTTTTTACTATTTTGAAGTCGAACATGGTGAAAATTATTTCACTTATTATGTTGTTTTTTGTTGAATTGAATTATCATTCCTCTTTTGATTAGCTTGAAGTGAAGTTCGGATTTGATATCAACAAATGATTTGTTGTTTGCTGGCTATAGATAATAGACTGAGGGATCATTTCTTGATGCAGCTTGTTAAATTTGGCTGAGATTGCAGATGTGCCTTCACCCTTTGAGCGAAAGGGCCTTCACTTAACTGTGTCCTGCATTGGATCTGAAGGAAATGGAGGAGACCAACCTCCTCGGAGACGTTCTGCTTCTGGAAGAACGAATAAGAACGATGGAACTAAGAAACGTGGACCAGCTGGTAAAAAATCTAAGGCATCTGACCAGGAAGAGATCATTTCTCTATTCAGACGGATACAGACTTCGATCTCGAACGAAGAGTCTGTAAATGCTAAGAAGAAAAATTCCAATGTCTCTGAAGATAGCCCCTCTTCTGAGTCAATTCTTCAGGCTCTTTATGGATCGAGGAAGCAAAAAGGTAATGCAGATGAATGTCATGTTTGATGCAATCACTTGCCATGGCCATGCACAACACAGCTACCACTTCTGCACCTAAACATGCACATGTTCAAGTCTTATTTCTAGTTATGATGATTGAATTTCTCTGCTTTCACAATATTATTTCTTAGTCAAATACTAATTACTGCAGGCAAAGCTTTAGACAAGGCAGGGCAAGAGGTCTGGACAAGGAGGAAAGCTACGCAAGAGCAGCAAATACAGGAGGATCCCTCAGTTGCAGAGTTCAAGTTAACGCGCCCACCGTCTAAATTTGTGAAAAGATCTCCGATTCCATCTCAATCAATCCCAAGAGGACAAGTTCTTGAGCTGAATAACGGAGCATCATCTTCTGCGGCTGGAAGAATAGAAGAAATGAAACTCCCTGAGTTGAAAGAACTGGCAAAGACCAGAGGAATTAAAGGTTACTCGAAACTTAAAAAGAGCGAGCTCGTTCAACTGCTGAAGTCCTAAAGCAATGTAAAACCTTGCCCATATATTGTACCAGAGCATTATTTGTGACAGATTGAATTTCACCTTACGTTCTTCAAAATGTTGTGCAGTCCTAGCTACCCACATTTTACAGGGTGGCCACCAAAGTATGGTTGTTTTTAAACTCAAAACTCAATGCCCTCTGGTTCCTAATTGATTTTAGGGTTCTGGTACTGTTTTGTGTTGTGGTTGCTTGTTCCCTTATTTGCTATGTTTCTTTTCCCATGCTATAGCCAAGGGATAGAACAATGAAAAATCAAGCCTATCAATCAGATTTCAATAAGCCATTTGATATTGGCAACAAATAATAAGACAGATGAGTAACAAAATGGTCACAAAGCAAACTAAAATTTGCTGACAGAAATAACGGCTGCTCCATATAAGCAACAAGAGTCGAAAAAAGAGGACATCATCAAGTTTTCAAGATCAAAATTACTGGCACATCTCTTTAATGGAGATACTAACTCCTGATACATAGAAATTTGTAGAAAGTAGCAGCTTGCCAAAACTAAAACAAAATATCCAAGACTAGTAGATCTGTCTAGTTAACAATATTTTGGGACTTGTTAAGAATGACCCCTTCATATTTGACCTGGAACCACTTCATTGCATCCTCCTTGGTAACCCTGTGCTGAATTCCAACACGCGACTTGCATCTGCGACGACGACCAACACGGTATCCTGGGCGCTCTAAAACAACAAAAAAGTCCATGCCATAGATACCAGTTGAAGGGTCATACCTGAAGGAAGAACAACAAAACTGGTTAGTGATACCCAAATATGCATGCCACTTACTAGTCTGCCTTTCAAGTTAAGGCAACCTCAACTACCCGACATTTTAAATATAAACAGCCCAGGAACATTATAGGGTCATCTATTTCAAAATTATGCCTCCTATGTTACAACATAATATTCAACAGATATTTGAAACAAACTCATAAAAGGTAAAAAAGAGTCATAGATATATTGTTTGCACCTCAAAGTCAGCATATTCACCTTCTTTCGAAAATGGAAAGAAATAAAACCCCTTAGCAAATACACACATGAAATTTTCACAAGTGAACATGGTGCAAAACTGCAATGTTATGAAAGGTAAATTGTAAGGAGTCAGACTAATTCCCACCCTATAAGTAGTTGGAACTTGCAAACAATTTGAGCTAAATCCAAGAAACTTGATGAATAAATCTAATTCCCATATAAAATTATTGAACTTTTCCCAATCTCATTAGAAATTAAATCTAAAGCCTAAACCACAAAACCTATCAACATACTACATGATTCCACAAACTCAATATAGAAATGATTCCACAAAGACAATTATCATGAGGTTATATGCCAAAATCAAGAATAAAGGAGCACTAACTTGATCCCAAGATCGATATGTTCCTGAATACCGAAGCCGAAGCAGCCGGTGTCACTGAAGTTCCTGCGCAAGAGCTCGTATTCCTTGACCTTCAGTCCACTCTCCAGAAGTTGCATTGCCTTGTCGCCTCTCACAGTCACGTAGCAGGCAATCTTCTCATTACGCCTGATACCGAAGGATCGCACCGTGTACCGAGCTGCAGGTAAACAAAACTCAAAAAATTAATAAATCCATAAATAACAAAAAATGAAAAAATGAAAAAGCAGAGAGAATCTAATGGAAGCTCACCTTTGGAGAAGACAGGGGTTTGGCCACTGAGTTGTTCCAAGACCTAGGGGAAAGGGGCAAAATTGGAAACAAAAAGATCAGTATATGATTTTGATATCATTTTTATTTTGGGTAGTTTTGTTGTGAGGTAAAGGAGGAACCTTGGCGGCTCTGGTGAGTCGATCACCACTTTCTCCGACAGAGATATTGAGGACGAGCTTCTGGACTTTGATTTCCCTCATGGGATTTGCCAGCTTCTTCTCCGACGCCTGAATTTGACACACAAAAACAACTTCATCAGAACAACCACAACAACAACAACAGCACAGAAATTCCAATAAACATGAAGAGAGAGAAAGAGGAAAGAGAGGAGACCATTGTGGTATGAGAGTGTGTAGAGAAGGCGAAGCAGCAGAAACTCGGAGAAGGCAATACAAATATAGGGGGAGAGACGATGTGAGCGATGAGTGAGCTAGGGTTTTTATTTCTGATTTGGGCTGCCTCAGAACCCAGATTTGAACCCGAGCCTTTTGGGTCGGATGTAGACCAACTACACTTGTGGGCTTCCAGGAGCTCGAATCCCCAGATGAGCTTGTGGGATTCTTGCTCCTTATTTGAGGGATATCCCTTGTAGGTCCCATTTCGGATTGCATTTCATTAATTCAAACTGTTTATTTTGTAAATACTCATTCAAAGATCATCTTTACAAAAAATCATTTGAATTCGATATCATTTGACCACTCAATTGAGTTATTTAAATTTTAGTACTTTCTTTAAGCACCATGTTTATTGATTTTGTAAGACACAATTGGATGTCGAAACGGTTTCTGATTTGTCAAATTTTTTATAAGGATGATCTATAAATGAAGACCTAAAAAATAGATGGTTTGGATCATCATGAAAAAATTGTAGGGTACCCTAAATGGCGTCCCTTAATAAAAAGGGATTGTATACATACATACATACATACATACATACATACATATATATATATATATATAGTCACCTTCTATTGAGGGATCCCTCAAATAATTTTATTTGAGGGACGCATTTTAGGGCACCCTACAATTTTTTTCTCAATGATCCAAACTATCTATTTTTTAGGTCTTCATTCATAGATCATCCTTACAAAAAATTAGACAAATCTGAAACCGTTTCGACATCCAATTGTGTTTTACAAAATCAATGAACATGGTGCTTCAAGAAAGTACTAAAATTTCAATAATTCAATTTAGTGGTCAAATGATATCGGATTCAAGTGATTTTTTGTAGAGATGATCTTTGAATGAGTATCTACAAAATAGACAGTTTGGATTAGTGAAATACAATCCGGAGTGGGGCCTACAAGGGGTGTCCCTCAAATAAACTTATTTGAGAGATCCTTCAATGGAAGCTCTCTGTATATATATAACGTACAAGTATCTGATGTAGCAAAATTAATTTGGAATTAGATAATTCCGGGTTCGAATACCGACAGCAGAATAATTTTTTTCTTTTATTTCTTTAAGTAAAATTATTTACAAGTGAGATAATATATATATGTATTTTCTTTTCTCTTACATTAACAAGAATCCGCTGTAGCAAAATTAATTTGGAATTTGACAATTCCGGGTTCGACTCCCGGCAGCGGAATAATTTTTTTCTTTTATATGTTTACGTAAAATTATTTGCAGGTTATACTTGTCCGTAGGAGGCATTCTTTTTTAAAAATCGTATTGCCGGGCGGCTTTACTCGTGGGGGGTTTTTTTTAAATAATAAGTATCGCCGCACAGCTATACTTGTTTTGACACATGGGCACCTAATCGCTAGGCGGTCCCTTTTTGTCCTGTAAATCGTATAGCCGTGCGGCTATACTCTGGCTCAATGGCCGTACGGCTATACCCGTGTAATTTTTTTTTATACAAAATATTACTCTAGCCGATCGGCCATACTCGTTTTTTAAATATAGTATATTTACATAGTATAGCCGCGCGGCTGTACTCAACTCCCAGCAGCAGATTAAGTTTTTCCTTTATTCATTTACGGCAGGTTAGAATTGAAACCATTCTTGACATGGATCGTTTTTGGTCATGATCCCATTCAAAATAGCATTATGGCTTTTTGATTGGTCAAATCCATCATTCTTGAGTTGTTTTAAGGCAGAGAATGTCAGTTCATGCAAATCAAATAACACGTTGAAGAGAAGAAGGAAATCCACTCTTGTGCAGCAAAGACTTGTAAAATGCAGGCAAGCAGGTTTCTTGAACCCATCTATGGCTTTGAGGGGGTGATATCACTGTTGTTTTGTCATACATTTGTTTGGTTGGTTGCTGCCTCCCAAGTACCAACCATGGATGCTTCCTTCCCCACTCTCTCCCTTCTATTAGTTTCTGTTTGTGGGTTTCTTACCCTCTACGGTCATTTTTGCTCTGTTTTTACGTTGGATTGGAGTTGCTGACTTTCGTGCAAATGGTTTCGTGGCGTGGAGGCAAAGGTACTAAAAAAGAAACAATAAAGGGTTGCTTTCGCGTCCAGTGTACACCTTGGTCTTCCAAAGTAACATACAGAAAAGTCATGCTGTATGCATCATCATAAGTCTCTGTGAACCAACATTTGAACTAGTATGCAGAAATTACGGAAGCTATGTATATTCAATTTTTGCTATTACAAATTTACATCAAGAGCAGTATAAAATGAAGTTTGTTTTATCATATTCAAAATAAATCTATCAAACACTAAAATATTAGCAAAATACATAAAACCAATGATGGGTTTTCACTTGTATAATGGAGTCTACAACAAAGATGGCGTATGGCAAAAGGTAGCTCCAAGGAATAAGAACAACTTTTTCGCTTTCTAATTTCATGTCCTAGCCTCTCTTTTTTCTTCTTTTTTCCGGCAACAAATGTTAAAGTTTATGCCAAAACCCACCAGAAAGAAAAAGAACATAAGAATATCATCCGTCACACTGAAAGAAAACACCAAATAACTGCACTCTGCTCCTAAGTTGTCATGATGGCAACTCTAATCATTTGAAACCTCAAATCTTCAGGCTTATATGCAGAAACCGACAGAGTATGTTTACATGTGAATAGACCAGAAAATCCCATTAAAGCCAACATGTCGTAAGATTCCACATGACGTGCGCTACGGATGCAGCGTTGAGACATAATGCAACACGACCTCAATACTTTATCCACATCCCTGACTAGAACATATTTCCACGAAAAAACCATGGAAGTACAAAGGCTATTACCAGACATGCCATTAAAAAGTTGCAAAATGGCTGTCCCCGCCAACATCCTCCATTCCTGTCCGATGAGTTATTTTCAATACCAGAAAGCGTTTCTTCATTCCACTCCTCCATAAATCTGCTATCCCCATGACCAGTGACATTGTTCGCCGTCTCACCACAGATTTCGCACGTCCTGCATGAATAAAAATAAGAAAGGAATCAACTTATATTGTGATCTTTGATGCTAGGTTCTTGTGCAGAGAATTTCACTAGCTCTACTGTTTATTTAGACTTTGAAAATACTTCCTGACTAAAATAAGAGACTCCACGGATAATTGTAACAGAAAACAATTTTAAAATCAAAAGTAACCACAGCAAAGCTTAGTTATTGGAAATGAAAAAGGTTTCACTTTCTCTTCTGCTACCTTGCGGCTATTTCATATCAGATTCACTTTAACTTTCCCAGGGTTTCAATGCACAAAAAGGAGCAAATGACAAAAGAAAAACTTGAATACCATTTATAAAATAGAACAAGATCTTGTTACTTGTCACTTGTGTCATTTACTTTGTAACACTACTATCATTTCAGAGTCGTAACACTTCCATGCAGGCAATCCTGACATGAGATCTGTGTTAACTTAAAAAAACCGAGTTTGAAAACAAAAGCAGACCAAAAAGAAGAGCTGTAGTGCCATTTATAAACATTCATGAGAATTTCCTCCGCATTACTAATACAGAGATTAATAATTTTATTCACATTCTGTAATGCCAAGAGTCTTGGTTCAAGTGGTAGAAGGCCGGGGAATGTTCATATAGTTAGGTTTACATCTTATTAATCAAAGTGCAGAAAACATTTTCTGCCGTAACAATACAGTACAACTCTTAACTTCGATCTTTGAATATGGTGAAGCATGGAACAAAATTTAAGGGGTCATACTTAACACTTCTTGGACGTTCAGTTTCATTCCACATTTCAGAAAAGAAAAGACCATCGTGAAACCAAACATTACAAACGCAGAAATATCAAACGAAAATGCAACAACAAAAAAAGGTACAATTATTGCCCAATACAAAATATAATCAAACATGCACACATGTAAGAATATGCACCCACCAAGCTTAAAGCATATTGTTGAACATCTATTATTACCACCAAAAAAAAAAAATGACAGTGGGAAGCATTGAGAGAAAGAAAACAGGGTGGAAAGATGGAAAAATTTACCTGTTTCCTTTTAGCTTAAACCATGCTTCGGCACAATGACCATGTGCAACACCTAGCTCATCTCTACACTCACAACCAAGATGAATTAATTCCGTAGGGGTAGAACTATTAGCAGTTTCAATTTTTCTGTCCGGTGATTGTTCAGAACTTAAATGGCAAATCCTACAAACCCTTTCCCCATCCCATTTATCACCAAAGCCTTTACCACTCCCACACCTCACATCAATCACATGTGAGTCTTTCTCTGCTTGAGGCACCATCTTCTTTGATTCTTCCACCAATACCTTACTCGACCCCAATTCGTCAACCTTTGTAACCAATCTTCCATTATCTCCAGTAACACGGGCAGCCTCATCCGAATTAATGACCACCAGAGTCTCAGAAACATTCCCATCAGCCAAATTGTTTGAATTCTTATTATTTCCTTGCTCAACTTCACTAGGAACCACACCACTACCAGGCTGGTCGCATGCCTCCTTATCATTCAGCTTCTCAAGTCCTTCCACCACTGCTTTTTTGGACCCCAATTCCTTTCCCAATGCTTCCCAATCTTCATTTTTTCCAATAACACAAGCACCCTCTTCTGATTCAATCACAATGACAGTTTCAACAACCGACCAAACAACAGAATTTCTTGATTTCTCAGTCGTCTTTTGATCAACTGCACCCAAAACCTCACTGCTACCTTGCAGATCATGCGCCCCCGAATCCATTGCCAAACAAAAAGGTTTCCAACCTCCAAAGATTCCAACTTTCACAAACACCCAGCAATAATATACACCATACACCCAATTCTAAAACTCCACAACAGACCAACTCAAACAGTTGACGCACAAACCCAATTGGAGAACCAACGTTCTTATCTTTCTAAAGCATACGCAATGTGATGAAACTGAAAGTGACTAAACGAACGAATGAACCACTCCAAGAATATCTATATGGTAATCTCCAATCATCAAACAATCGATAAATAAATAAAAGCTAATAAGAAAAGAAACTCAACAGCTAAAAACCAAACCTTTTCTTCCGCACAGACCAGTTCAATTCCAGGAAAGGAGCTGCAAAATTGGAGCTTTAATCCTGAGATACTAAAACATAAGGAATTTCAGATCTGGGTTTTATCCAATATCAACTACACCAACTGTGTGATTTCATTTTCTAGGAATTTGGTTGTTAATCTTAACCTTATTATATAATGTATATACAGGAAATAGTATGAGGTTGGTGAAGAATGGAGCCAAAAAAATTGTTAAAAGAATATAGAAAGGTCGAGGGAACAAATAATAAGAGATTGAAGAGTATTAAACTATTAAATGGGGCAGTGTGTGTGCTGTGAAGAAGAAGATAAGGGCTTGAAGTGGATTGTCGCTATCTGCTATTATTATCTGTGCGCAAGTGCAGAGATTTTTTCCTTTTTTTATGTAAGCTGCAGATGAAGGGAATTAAAGCTTTTTGATTTGCCAGTTGGGGTTACATTTATTTATTTATTTGGAAAGAATTCCATTTGGCAGAGATTGTGGCCTTTTGGCTTACGTTTTGAATGGGCAAACTGTGTGGTTTGTGAGTGGCATTTTGTGTGTTGGAGTGCTTGTGCCGCGACTTGAGGAGTCAGAGGAGGAGTTTACAAGGTCACAATATGTTAGGTTCGCTGTCTGTCTCTTCCTATTGGCCAAGGAGAACATCTTATTTTTTATATTGGTTTGTAGCTAGTTGATTTTGACCCAAGTAAACGCTTGTAAGTATCCTATCAGATGCAGACTGGTGAGGATTTATGCAGACTCATAATTTGTTCAAAGTTGATTAGCCAATTGGGTAAGGCGACTACTTCAACGGAGAACCACTTACCTCTTCTAATTTGTATATATCCGGGGGTCTTTGAGGTCAAAACTTTAGATATTTTAATTTAAGTTGGAGTGATATGGGGGAGTTGATCTGTAGGAGAGAGCGCTTTTCTTGGTGCAAGTGAAGTATACCCAATACAACATGGTTTTAGGCTTCCATGTTAATAAACAGAGGATCCTACTTTCATGCCATGACTCACTTTTTTACTTTATCAATATGGAATTTGAATAAAGATTTTGATTGGTTTAGATCCTCAATTTAATGTATATTTGCATTTTATCCATCAGATCCTTGAAACAATTCTATTTTCGGAGGGAGATGCAGAAGATGTGGACAAATGAATGGAAGATTTTGTGGTCAAAATGCCATTTGTCCTTCAGACACAACGACAGAATTAAGTTTCTCAAGAAGAATATCTTATTAAGATAATAGAATGAAAGACCCCTTCAATAATTGCATAAATTACTCAGTCAAATCTGTCTGCACCACAAAAAATGCTATAACCTCAACAATTCAAATCCAGGAAATTCCTTCAATGCACCGTACATGTTGACCTAAGGCTGTGGAAATTCTGCAGATGAAAACGAAACCTGTGTAAATCCAACACGTATATACCTCGACCCAAAGAGGACGTTGAGAAAAGGCTGGTCCTACAGGCACTCGCCCACCAAATAAGGTTGTACATTTGGCAGCCTAATTAAGAACAAAGACTAGGAACTTGAGAATGAAACCAAGACTGGCAATTTGGCATTAGCATGAGCTGTGCCAACCAATCTTTTTTGGTAAAAGTTACAAAAGGGAATAGATTCTTGTCCCAAAGGATCGCAATCATTGGTAAAGTGGATGTTCAATCTCATTTCAATGTGCTGTCTAGTGTCATGTTCAATCTCATTTCAATGTGCTGTCTAGTGTCTATTGTGCCATCATTCTAGTCACTTGTTTTGATTAGGAAACAACTCTATAATTAGTACCTTAGTAACTCTCAACAAAATGCCAAATTCATTTACAGTTAATACTTTGACGGTGCAATTGGATATTTTCCTGTCACCGAGGTCCCGAAAGCTCCATAGCTTCAATGATGAAAGAAGACTCTTGATGCACATCACTGCAATTCCTGGAGAAATCACAAGCCCTGGCGTCAAAAATGTTGTTTCCTCCTTGTGATGCCTCTGTATGTCCTGATTGCCCAACTAAGCCTTCCAAAATCTTCAAGACCTCTGACATCTTTGGCCGGAGGATGGGACTTGACTGAGTACATTGTAGAGCCAACTCGACACATTGCTCCAGCTCTATTGCATCGAAACATCCTTTAAGATCTCTGTCTACTAGCACCTCCAACCTCTTCTCCTCATGTAGGGTTCTAACCTGCAAGATTCAACAATTGGTAAACATTTTTTAAAATTACAAACCAAAAATAATAAAAATAAAAAACTGAGACAACAATAGAAACAGTGCAGAAATAAGAACCATGAAGGATAAAAACTAATTTTGTGCAGCTTAGATATTTACGGGATGGATGAAAGACACTATTTTTTACTCAACATAGTCCGTGAACCATTTTACTCAACATAGTCCGTGAACAATGAGACCGACAACTTTATATACGATAGACACAGAAAACATGTTAAACTACTTACCCAATCAAGAATCATTCCCTTCTGAACTTGAACATTTCCAGCATCTAATGCCTTTTGCCCGGTTATGAGTTCCAGAAGCAGTATTCCAAATCCAAAAACATCAGTTTTTTCAGAAGACTGTCCGGTCGAAAGATACTCTGGTGCTATGTGTCCCACAGTGCCCCGCACTGCAGTAGTGACATGTGATTCCCTCCGATCTAACAGCTTAGCAAGACCAAAGTCCCCAACTATAGCTTCATAACTTTCGTCAAGTAAAATGTTTGCTGCTTTGACATCCCTGTGAATAATTTTTGGATTACACTGTTCATGCAAGTATACTAGTCCTCGGGCAGCCCCAAGGGCTATACAGAGTCTTCTATTCCAATCCAATGACGGTTTTTCTCGACCGGTCTCTGTTGATAAGATGAGCTACTTAGATATACATTCAAATTTCACAAGAACACAAATGCATAAAATAACTTTGATTAGACGCAGAGAAAAAAATCCAACCATGAATTGAATGTTATTACATCTACAATGCCTTACTAGTCGAAGAATATAGATGTTAATGTTACGAAGAATATAAGTATTTTCTGAAACAATTTCTGAGCTACGATAACAATTGGATTGAGATTTTCTTTAACAGAAAGCACAATTGAGACAGTAGGTACATAACATCATTCTGCTGCGTCTAAACCCAACATTAGTCAAGCAACAAAATGAATTATCAGAGAGGGAGTGAGTTGCACGTGCAAGCAAAAAAAAAAAAAGAAAACAAACCTCTCAAACGGTCAGCAACACTCCCATTTGGCATAAAAGGATAAACAAGCAACCTCTCATTCGGAGTCATACAAAAGCCATATAAACGTAAAAGGTTTCTGTGCAAAGCCAAGCCAATCATTTCAACTTCAGTTTGAAACTGCACTTCTCCAGTGAAATTCGGATCTCTCAGCCTCTTAACTGCCACCATTGTCCTATTTGGAAGACATCCTCTATAAACGACTCCATATCCACCTTGTCCTAGGATGTTTTTGGAACTAAAATTGCTGGTAGCCATTTGCAATTCCCGATAGGTGAACCGCTTCAGATGACTAATATCAAATTCATAATCTTGCTGCACTGCAGATATGAATCAGGGTATCTCATTAATATATATTGTCATATATTATGCTCAATAAATTGAGTTGGCAAAGATCAGGAAGTACCATAAGATGTAAAGAGAAGACGAGATCTGTACCAATGCACCCAAAAAGCAAGTAGCATCACAGAAATGACAAATGTGCAACTAATGCCTATAGCAACAGAAAGCACCCATCGGTGGTGATGGCTGGCTTTCTTTGATGAGCCTGTCTCTGCAAATAAATTTTCATGAACATGTAACCGTATCTAAGGAACTGCACAATACAAATTTGAATTTCAGACATTGAATTACCATGTACTGGTTTGAAGACGCCAAAGCAGATTTGTGCTGAGTCTGCTGATGAAGGATTACAAAGAAAGCTGTTCCCTGTAACGCTGCAGTGAAACATGTAAACTCTCAGCAGAATTTAAGCTGTTCAAACAAACCTCATACTGGTTGAGTTTTATAACCAACCCCCACATTCATTTCCTGAAATAAACTCTTACTCTCTCAACAAAATCTCTTTCTGCATATAGTCTCACCTGTAGCCTTTTGCCTGTATTTTTGGAGTAGGACCGCTAAGATTATTAAATGACAAATCTCTGTGTAAAATAGTTACAAAAGAATTAGAATCGCTCCAAGCAATCCATAAATAAAAGTACACAGTTAGAAATGATAGAACACATACAAGAATGAAAGACCCGTGAGATCAGCAACAAGTCTAGGAATTTGACCGCCCAATTTATTTCTACTAAGCCTCCTGAAATGCTTGGCATGGAAAAGGTCTCAAACACAAAGAAATATCACTAATAACCAGTCGTTATGGCAAAAATGAAACCAGAATCAATAGAAATAATAGTGCCCTGTCTATTGTAAGCCCTACTCACAAGTAACTTAGGTGAGTCAGAAACCCCAAAGAACTTGGAATGTTTCCAGAAAACTGGTTACCCGAAAGGTCAAGAGTTTGAAGCTCTGAGAGTTTCCCAATCTCCATCGGGATAGGACCAGATAACTGATTGTTTTGTAACAACCTGCAATTGTAGAAATTATAAACATAAATTCACAAGTCATAACTGCAAAAGCGCTTAGATTCCCTTACATGTACACAGTTAGTTACGAAAAGAAAGATAAAGAGCTCCTACAATCAGGCCTCCTAACACGCATAGATTTATCCTAGTGTTCCAAAAGTTCACAATCTGAAAACTAATCTACATTGCCATGAAGCATGTTTCAACAGATTTACAATAGAAAATACAGTTGGACAGGCAACCAACAAGAGGCTTACAGTGTACGAAGGTGACTCAAGTTCCCGATAGTCGGCGAAAGCATTCCCGATAAACCCGTGCTGGCCATTTCACTAGCAAAAGCAATAACATAAAATTTCAGTTCGAGCTCAGCTAAACATGCATGCCAACAAAAAAATTATCTGATTCCATAAAATTCATAACTTGAACAGAATGAAAAAACACTCTGGTTTCAAGTTTCAACATACCAAGAAAATATCTTTTTTGTTTCATTGATTTCCAAACAGCAAAAATGCACCTCTTTCTTGCGAAACAAACAGAAGCTAATGGAAAATGAGGGACACTTACAGGGAGATTACAAAGCCCTCAACGGAGCAACCGACCATGTTCCAAGTGCATGGATCAACGGAGTTTATGTCCCATCCCTCCATCACTCGCAGCTCATCCTTCATCTCTCTCTTCACTGACATCAATGCAGCCACTGACCCACGCAAAACAACCAACAGCATTCATATTTTTCATCACAAAATGAAACAGAAAAGTAGAAAATGGGTTTTAAACTTTTAAATCTTGAAGGGCCAGACCTTCATAGTTGACACCCTTGGGAGAGAGAAGACTGTCAGAGGCTGTAGCCAATGGCAAACACATCAAGTAGAAGAAGCAAAACCCAAAAGGCAGCTTTACATGTTTCTTTCTCATTTTCAACTGGAAAAAGAGACCACAGGGAAAACAAAAGCACGAAGCAGACAACTTTTTAGGGCAACTTTTTTACTGCAAACGGCAGAGAAGTCAAGATTGTGTTGAAACTTTGATTCAACTCCACAACTTCTACTTCTCTCTCTCTCTCTCTCTCTCTCTCTCTCTCCTTTTGTTGCTTTGTTAATGGAATCTCTTTACCCTTTTACCTCGAAAACGAATAAATTAATCATAAAATAAAAAGAAAGCTTTGGTTTAATGGAGATCGTAAGACCAGGAGGGCAACTCGAGATTTGGGAAGTGACAGAGATTGTCTGCCAGGTTAAGATGGTGGAGACTTCTGTGTGGTTGGGTGTAGGATTTTAGTAAATGCGATTGAATTCTGATTGTTGGATTTGTCGAGTCACTCGATCTCATGGACTTTAAAGCATCTCCAACCGAGACGTGCCATATAAATATTTAATAGCTAGAAATGACATCTTACATCACTCCAACTGATATGTCAAAGCTGATGTGAAATGAAGGCTGGAAGTTGAGATGTTATTTTTGACATCCTAAAAGTAAGATGTCAAATGAATATTTTATTATTTTTTCTTTTCTTTTCTTTTTAATTAAAAATAAATCAACATTAAAATGTAATAAAATAATAATTTAATTTAATATATCGGATGAAGTGTAAAGCTGTATAAGATATCAAATTACTACATCAATCATCAAAATTAAATTTGATGTTTGATATTTGACATCTCCCTTAGAGATGCTTTTACAGACCTTATCGTTTCGAATCTCTCTTTACTCATTACCTCAATGTTCCTTTTGGAGCAGACAAATAATGTAAAAATTTATGGCGCCAACTTTAACGCTGCCGGTATTTTGGACTTTTCTGCGCGCAAAGTACGACTTCGTTTCTTTATCAATTTTAATATTTTCCTCCATAAACTCATGCGGCGCAACAAGCGGGAGGAAATTGCTGGAAAATGATAACAGTCCTCAAAATGGACGAGGGTGAGAGAAAAACACCAAGTTCATTTGAGCATGCAGTGCAAATAATTCTTCCAAACACAGGGACAGTGAACCTACAATGCAGCGAGACGAATGGCAGAAACCACTAAAGGTAGGGATGGGGGAAAGGTGTAGAGAGCAGTACATTAAACCACAGAACAATGCATTACACTTTCAAGTTTGCACAAACATCAAAGTAACGGCATTCATCCGTAATTTCGAGTCAGCCAGCCACCACAAAACACCCCCAGGACTAATAAGAAACAACATTTAAGTAAAACGAAAACCATCCAGCAACCAACAACATTCTATTAGGAGCCCTCTTTCCTAGCTATATAAATACACTTTTCCAGTTTCCTAGCTTTTCCTCTCTAGCAGCTTTCTTACCGGTCCACCTCAGACTATCATTACTATCAAACATTTACAGGAACAAAATGGAATTTCGGGAAAAAGGAGGGAAGAAGTGAGGGATAAGGGAGGAAATCACAGAAGATAACACATTACGGGAAGCCATCCATCCGCCCCAATTTGCACTCTTCTTGGTAGAGCAACAAAAGATGATCGTTAGGCCTCAATACACGGTGATTTAACCACAAAGATACTAAACCTTTGTGTCACACATCAACTGGAAGATAGATTCTGCATATTAACTTCTCCACATTTATGTGCCGGCTGGATGCAAGAAATTTAGACCCATCTGGCGTTTCACATGCTCAGGTATCAACCTATTGATTAGCTCTGGAGAGGCTCCGGACAACTGTCAGAACAATAGATTAGTCCAGGTAGTAATTGGCTGAAATAATGAAATCTTAGAAATTAAACAATTGAAGAAAGAATATTGGAGTGCCCAGCTTTATATTGAGATTGGCCATGTAGGATGAGTTAAAAATCATTCATTTTACCAAGACAACCCAACACACACCCCTCAAAACAGAGTTTTATTCTTTTGTACAAAAGTAATTCCCAGTAGATTATAACTTAGAAAGGTGCGCCCATATATAATAACTGACAGCTAGTGAGATATACTCCCATGTGCATTCCATTTAACACATGTTTTTTTTGTTTCTTCAAATTATGGACAGGCATTTTCAGGGCCCAAAAATAAATAATTGAAGGAAAACAACATACATCCTGTTTGAAATTAAACAGAGGTGGAAACGGACGACCATTCGGTAGGCGAGCATTGGGCTCACGAAGTTCATCAAAGAAAGGATGTGCACATGCGTCTAGCTGCAAAACAACAGTAAATCCTAGTCAAACAGGAGCGCCACTAGAGACATGAAAGAACTTCATATGTCAAAACAAGATACTAAAAGGAAAACTTTTGACATCAGAAAAATCATTTCTCAGTAGTGACCAAAACTGAATTCATGAGTATTGAGCATCACAATACAACATATACACGAACAAAACAAAATTCTTTATACCCTAATTTTGAGAAATCAATGACAACCTATAACACGAAGGATTCATTAGCGATTATAGAACAAGACTGGAACCTCAAACAATACATAATGACATTCATATCAAATTAAAAGCATTGAACTTACAGCTGTGCAACGAAGACTTGGTGAGTATTGCAGAAGTCGTGAAGCCAAATCAATTGCTTCTGGAGGCATCCTTTTGTGGAAAACCTATATCAAGGACCCAAGTTAATAGGACTCTACCACCACCATGTTAAAGAAACAAAATAATTGTAATTTTTAAATCCAGTAAAAGTTTCTGTATGTTTTAAAGGATCAATTGGAATTCAACAAAAGCAAGAGCATATATGTTCATCACAAACTCCAATAGAAAATGCCTCAAGGCCCCCATAGATAATCTAATGTGACCTGTGCAATATTCATATTAAGAAGGAAGCAGATCAAATACCTTGTGCCAAGGGTGTGCTTTTATCTGTGGAAACCTAAAATCAGTATAGTTTGGATTCATACAACGAATTTCTTCACGTGTTGGCGTGCCAAGAACCTACAAGACAGATTGTTAGTTGCTGACTCATGATTATACAAATTGCATAATTCAAGAATTGATGATTACTATGCACCTTGATGATCTCAACAAGCTGGTCCACAGCATTTTCTCCAGGAAACAGCGGCTGCAAAACCATAGAATATATATGAGCAACATCTATAGTAGGGACTAAATTACTTGTGCAAATATAATCCACTAACATCTTGGAATGATATGACGAACTGCTAACCTGGCCCAAAAGAAGCTCTGCTAGGACACAACCAGCTGACCAGATATCAATTGAGGTTGTATAATCCGTGGCACCAAATATAAGTTCTGGAGCCCGATAGAAACGTGAACATATGTAAGATATGTTTGCTTCACCTTTCACCTTCAGACAAGAAAATTTGTGATGAGTGCATGAAACCCTATAATAGAAAGATTGATATACAGACAACCAAAAGATTTAAAACCTCAACTAGCATAGAAACTTCCTATCCAGAAAAAGAGAAGGAAAAAACACAGTGGAGGAAATCACAGGAGCAAGAACAATGTCTTCCATATACACTGTCCTAAAGATTATCTGAAAGGGAACTTGAAAGCAGGTCCAGAAATAATACGTTCAACGCTGAAGGATAGTCAACATACCAGCACTTTTGCACTTCCAAAATCACAAAGCTTAACCTGGTGAGTAAGAGGATCAACCTGTAGAAAGCCAAGAATGACATTGGAAAACCAGAGGTAATTGTAGACATAGGTATATGTACATGAGTCTGTAACTCCTCATAAATATATATATATATATATTGCGAAGTAAGAGAACAAGTAAATAGGATACCAAAAGATTTTGAGGCTTCAAATCTCTATGGCAAACTCCAGGAACGGTGTGTATATAGGCCAGCCCTCTAAAAATCTGGAACAAATCACCAGATTAATGCCATGAATAGTATAAAGCAACAAGGCAACATCTGAAAGGTGCGTCATGCATTACCTGGTACATGTAAAGTTTGACATAGATTAGTGGCATTCTCTGGTTTGCATTGCTGTAATGTTTCAAAACCCGGTACATAGTCTCTGGGACATATTCCATAACCAGGTTGAGAAAGAGCTCATTTCTACTCGTTGTGGAAAAGAAACAATGTTTCAAAGAAACCACATTTGGATGGTCCATCACACGCATCAATTGAAGTTCCCTGTTCTTATATCTTCTGTCCTGCAAAACCTTCTTTATAGCCACAGTCTCACCACTTTCCAAGCATTTTGCCTGAGATAAAAGAACTATCAGCATCAGACATGACAAATAAATTGGTAAAGGACGCAATAACTAGGAAGATGATAATTTAACATACCTGGAAAACAATTCCAAAAGAGCCAGTTCCCACAACACGCTCTGCCATGTAACTAATGGTCTGCAAAAAGCATAATAGCCAAACACATCAACTTCCCAACAGAGGAAAAAATAACCCTGGTAAGGTATAAAAACATCTAGATCCAGAATATTGATAATCATATTTTAACCTTTCAACTCAATCAAGACGCATACTTTAACAATGAAACAGGGTGAAAATAACAAATTCCAAGAATGGTAACCTGTTTTGGTTCTCCATTTTTCCCTCCGATGGTTGTGGAGATGATGTGGCCAGTTGGATCACTACCGTCTACAACAGGTGCAGAAATTTCCTGCATAACACATCAAGTTAGATCCTGCTAGAAACAAATTTCCCATAAAGTGTATGAAATTTACAGTGGAATTCACGGATTAGCAGCCATACACAACCGCAGACCACGCAAAGAATATAAAAGTAAATAAAGGCTATACAAAGTACATTCTGAGTCCCAAATATGCCTCATGAAATGAAACTAAATCCCTAAAACCCAAAAAGAACATCGACAAAATTTCTTATTTTTTCTTTTCAGAAAAGAAACAGATCGGTTGGCTCATAAGCTAAGCGAGATGCAGATTAAATCAATTGCAAATCAAACCCAAATTACACAAAAGCATCCGACTTTATCAAACCTAACCAAGCTAATATCACTATGATCTGAGTAAAAAACTGGAGCTAAGCAAACATCACTGCTCGTCAAACCCAAACAAACCCTAGAGCTAGAGTAAATCTAGCTCATAACAAAACCCAGATCAAAGAAAGAGAAATCAAACTGCAGTAAGCTGAGAAAGTTTCTTTCTTTGGCAGCCAAACAAAACCCAAAAATTATCGAGAAAGTTACCTTATCGTCAGCCATGTTGAGATGGGAAAGAAAGAGCAGGAGG